GCCGCCACCGCCCTCGTGGTCCCTCGAGCCGAAAAAGCTATTCTCGAACCGTAATCCGGTTACGTTCCAAGTCGTGTACGGGGAATATTGAAAAATTGAGAAGCCTCCACACCCCCCTTCGACATCGAGCTCGATGCACCACGGGCTACGGCTTGCGATATCCTTCGTCTTTTTACTCCTCGATTAACCCGCTCCCGAGTCGTTCGTAAGAATGAGGACGTCGAAGATCGGAGAAATTTCTTAACCCTTTAATCTACGACAACGTGTCAGATTTGTGGTCGAGATTCTGGTCAAGATGTAAGGGAAATTAAGTGTAATCCTAACTATCGTTTTAGTTTGTAAAACTTACGGTAAATGGCTGGCGCTTAGATGAATAGTCAGAGGAAAAATAATAGTAATCCTACCACGCCTGGTCAGATTGACAATAATATTTTTTATTGCTATTCAAAGGCTATCTTCTGTAGTTGTTTCCTATATCGAATTGACAATCATGTGTATTTCTTTGGGAAAAATATCTTTATTTCGTAACCGATTATTTGGGCATTAATCGGTGTTAATGTAATTAGATTGTAATTAACCCTTTGAGAGTCTGATATAATTACGAACCTAACCAAGTGTGTGTGATTATTTTTAAAGCGCAGTGTCTCTTTCTAACTGTCTTCCTAAAAGTCTCTCTTGAGTTAAACTCTTCAGTCTCACTCGTCAAAACTGTCCAAGGGTTAATATTCCAATTAACAACTGCCGCCGTACAAATTAAACCGCTCCCAGAAGTAAAGAACACTGTAAACAAATTCCTAAGTAAACGTCGATAAACTGTACCATAGTACATATACAATCTGCACACTTTTCCAAAAAAATCTCAGGAACCTCTGTTTCACTCGGAGACAAAGAACGAGCACGACGCGAGAAAGAAGAACAGAAGAAGAGAAGAGAAGAGACCTCAACAGCGTGTATACACATACACGAATGTTAATAGGAATATCCGAGTGACGAAGAGGTGAGGGAGTAGAGAGAAGGGTCGTCGAAGTTAATCGTGTCGGCAAGTTAGCTTTAGCAGGCTGGCTGGCAAACGTCGGTCGGATCACGATCTCGTGTAGACGAGACAGACAGCGGAGGAGCAAGTAGAGAGGAAAGGGGACGAAAGCTGCGGGCCAATCTGGCACTATCTCTGGAAAGAGGGGCGAAAGGGGTCGACCTCAACGGTGCAAGCGGGGCCAGAGGCTTTGCGGGTAGTTTTAGATTAAAATTAATCGCGAGCTGATGAAACCGGTGGCGATGTGCCGAGGCAGGAAAAGGGTTGAAGCTGCCGGGACTGGTCAGGGGCGGTGCGCAGAAGGGTTGCACGGGAAAAGAGGACGGCCTCCACTCGTCCACTCTCAGACGAGAACCTTTCTCCTTCTTTCTCTCTCTATTTCTCTCTTTCACAACCAGCTTCCACCATCCCCTCCCTCTGCTCTTCTCATTTTCTCCCCCGCCCCTCTGTCTTTATCCTGCTATCTCTGTCTCCCTGATCCCCGAATTCCGGAGTAGAGGCTGGTTAATAATGCAAGGTCCATTTTCCACCCACCTGACGCGGCGAAATGCCCTTCTTCTCTTTCTCCCCGTTCGCGGAGCAACGTTTTTACGGGAGCGCCAGATCGAATTCGGGATATTCTTCGGTGCCGTTCGAGTTAACCCTTTGGTTATCGAAGAAATCTTGCGAATTTAATAATAAAAATATATATTTTTTCAATTAGTGCTCTCTTTTTAGCGTTAACTCTTTCGTTACTATTGGCGATTATTGGTGTTTTGAAGCCTTATTTAACCCTAGAGCGGTCGCCGGGTCCTTTTTGACCCACCGCCTTTTTATGTTTTTAGTCATTTTTGCTGTTATCAAGTTTACGTTCCTTAACAGTATTTTAAACGTTTACTGTCTAGGTTCATATGTTGCACACAAGGTCTTAGGTCCTTTTCCACCCAAAAGTCTGAAGTGTACAGTCAAAACGAAGAATTACTTTGACCCTTTACGCATTTCTACCTTAATTTAACGAACCGAAATTTAAAACGATGAAGGAAAAATGCGAAATTTTCCAGCCGTGGTTAATAATTTACCCTCAGTCATCCACGTTGCGCGTTAAAAGCTGCCGTAGCAAAGGGTTAAGTCGAAAGAATAATTTTCTAAACACTTTTTTCTAATTTACTCGAAGTAGAAATTGAGCTGTACTCGCAATTATCGCGCAATTTTAGTAGCTTTCCAATAAGGAAATTCTAAACTTGAAGCAAACGCGGATAAGACATATGCGAAATAACAGCAATTTGGTGGAAATGGAGCTGCACTCGCAATTATCGCGCAATTTTAGTAGCTTTCCGGTAAGAAATTCTAAACTTGAAGCAAACGCGGATAGGAAATATGCGAAATAACAACAATTTAGCCGGATTATTAAAATATTTTAAGTGAGAAAATGTGCGAAAGAGTAGCAGATTATTGAACATAAGGGTTAATCCAGCGTTAGTCAAGGCGGAATTGTACAGAAAGAATGGTTATTTATGCAAAATGTAAAATTTACAGGTAAAGGGTTAACTATGTCGAAATTGCGACACATGTTGATCAATGGATGGAACTTGGACCGTCTCTAATCCTCGTGATCCTCGTATTAATTAGCGGGGTGGCGACCAATCTGTATCCATTAACAGGTTATTACTATTCCACCCGCTACATTGGTCAACGTAACTGGTCGATTTAGTGGACTAGGGAGACAGGTACACACGATACACCCTCTTTACCGTCTACACCAAGGACTGTTACTGTATTCCTCGTATCTCTCTGTGTTTATTTCACTTGTTTCTCTAAAAAATATCATTATCATGCGCTTTTCAAACGATTCGTTCATTCTGCTTAACCCTCTAAGCTCGAGATTTCGTACCAGAAATCCACGATTTTCTCATTTTCATACATTCCAAAGAGTAGCCTCTCAATCCCAAGTACAAAGTAGACTATTTCAACGCTGACTATTTTAGCGTTAAACTTTTTCGCAACTTTTTTAGCAACGGTGGAACTTTTCAACGCTGAAAAAAATTCTACAAGTTTAAAGCACCGCTGGTCTTGGATTAGGTTAACACGTTGATTGTCACGCGAGATTTCCATCTTTCGCTCATGGGGCCAGAAGAAAATTTTCATTATTCTAAGCATAGTATTATATTATGCTTACTATGCTTTATTATTATTTTTTTAATTAAAATAACGTCTAGTTAGTTGTGACGTTCGAAATTTTTAGTCGACGACATTCGTTTTATTTTAATTACTCTGAACATTTAAGGCCCTCCGGTCACTGGCGTTAATAAAAATAAAGAACTTAGAGGATTGCCAAGAGACAAATATTCACGTTACTTACAAATTAATTTAAACAAAAATTTAATTAAACCTATCAATTACCAAATTATTCAGAAATTTATCCGACATCCGATCTCCACGTTGCTCAACGACGTTACAAAAATAAAATTGATCAAACAAATGCAAGTTCGTAAGCCTATAGCGATGGAAACGCAATCCGAAGGCCATATGTGTCGATGAGGGTATCAATAGCGATAGGTATGATCCTATTATTAATCTAAACTGCGTGTAAATAATTGAAACGGCTTAATGGGAGGGAGAATTACGCGAAGAGAAGTAGAAGCATAATTCCCGGGTGACTTGGAAGTAAATGGGTATACGCGCTCGGTGTCGGGCAACGAATATACATATGTAGCAGCCTAACTTCCTAAAGGATTCGTTTGGTGTACGTGCGTGAATAAAGGAAGACTAATCGGTCTGATTACCAACCATGAGCTTGCAATACCTTCCTTCGTTCTACCTTTTACATCTAGATCGTGCCATCTACGGACTCTATTAACTAATAGATCCACGATCTAAGAATAACTTTCACCTAAATTTCCCGGGAATCTTATCCAGGTGATACGTACAGCGATTGTATCGAACACTCGTTGCTTGATAGAAAAATTTGGAATTTTAAGCGAATTGAAAAATTTTGGATTTTATTCAAGTAACTTCAAAGCAATTGTATCGAACATTGGCTATTTGAGAGAAAAATTTGGAATTTCAAGCGAGCGGAAAAATTTCGAATTTTACTCGGGTGACTTTATAGCGATTGTATCAAACATTGGCTGTTTGATAGAAAAATTTGGAATTTCAAGCGAATGGAAAAATTTGGAATTTCAAGCGAATTCAAAAATTTTGAATTTTACTCCAGTGATTTAAGAGCAATTGTATCGAACACTGGCTATTTGAGAGAAAAATTTGGAATTTCAAACGTATCGAAAAATTTGGAATTTCAAACGAATCCAAAAATTTGGAATTTTACTCCAGTGACTTAAGAGCGATCGTATCGAACACCGGCTATTAGATGGAAAAATTTGGAATTTCAAGCGAATGGAAAAATTTGGAATTTCAAGCGAGTGGAAAAATTTCGAATTTTACTCCAGTGACTTAAGAGCAATTGTATCGAACACTGGCTATTTGAGAGAAAAATTTGGAATTTCAAACGTATCGAAAAATTTGGAATTTCAAACGAATCCAAAAATTTGGAATTTTACTCCAGTGATTTAAGAGCGATCGTATCGAACACCGGTTATTAGATAGAAAAATTTGGAATTTCAAGCGAATGGAAAAATTTGGAATTTTACTCAATTAACTTTGTAGCGATTGTTCAAGACGCAAGATTGAAATGGAAACGCAAAAATCCAGACTCGCCGAGTCCCGGGTCGCAGGAGAGAAATTCTGGCGCGCGACTTGCAATCTCCCAAGGGAGAGAATTCCATGCTCTTTCCTTCGTTTAGCAGCTTTCGCTTGGATTCTACCAGCCAGCTTTCGAGTTGAAAGCATTCTTCAATTATTCACTTACGTGTACTTAGTCACGCGTGACCGGGTCCACTGTGCTCAACAACGAACATTGCCCCAGGATTATCAATGAATTTAACGTCGAAACGTCTCCAGATTATTTAGTACGCGACTTCCTGCCCAATTTACTTGACCCAATACCGAAAATCGTATAAACCGTGCATTTATTACGAGCGATAATTAAAGAGAAGAGGAGGAAAATACAGGGAGTTGGAGACACCGAAGAGCTCTAAAAACACGGACCGGAAGAAGAGATCGAGCTAGAGCTCGATTAATGGATGGAACACCGAGCACTTCCCCCGTGCTCCAGTTATTTATGGGATCTATGGGGTAGCCAGCGCCACGTGGATCCATTGTCGAGAGATTTGTCACGGTGCACGCTCGAGGAGAGTGTGTCGTCGGATCAGAAGCTTTGTCGAACATGCTAAGAACATTATCTACTAGGACTACGCGCTACTGTTTGCTAATTATCGAGGAAAATCGTGATTCTCTTACTGTTTCGAGTGTCCTGAGCTGTCGACGTGGGGATGTTCGTCACGGAAATTGGCTCCCCGTAGCCTCTGTCCGCTGGTTCCTCCTTCACGGCGATATTTTTCGTGCTTTCGCTCGTTCTTGAATTCAGTTTGCTGTTTCTGTGCAACATATACGTGAACGATTATTGATTTTTTATTTGATCAGGAAGGTTCTTAGTTCGAGGGAATTTGTTGCACTTACGGAAAGCACGTGTTGCGATTTTCAGGATCTAGATCTAGAAATGTGCCGCTTTGCGAGTGTGGATGACTCACTGGGACTTGGTACTGTGAGTAATTGGTGTCGGAGATTCTTCTGCAGTTCACAGTCTCTTGTTTTACGTTCGCATCTGTGATAGAAGGGGTGAAATTTTGTGGAGGAGTTGGGGAATGTGAGAAATTGATGTATGAGGGGCAGCTTGGTAGTAAATTAAGTTGTAATGTTTAGTATGTTAGCTTATTAACTGGGTTCACTTCTCAAACAGAAATGGAATGTTTCTAGATTGTAATTAAAAATGAGGAAAAATTATAACAGGTTACTGAATTTTTGTAAATGTGAATGCGACGTATTTTTTCTTTAATACAGACGTAACAGTGCGATTCTCTTTTCTGACTGTGCATCTAAGCGTCAGCTATTTACTGTTTTAGTACTATATTAAGAGAGAAAATGCAATGCATCGTAGATTAATTAAATTTGGTAGCGTTCAGTTTTATAAATTAAATCGAGAGTTAGAATGAAAATTAATTTTTGCTATGGATATCACTGTTTCTATCACATCTTGACCAGAATCTGTAGCTGGAATCTGACTCGTTGTTATACGACAAAGGATTCAAAATGAGCAATCCCTCGAATAAATAAATTATCGTGCTTTAAGCAGAGACTTCTACCGAAACTTAAAATACTATCTTCCAAACTTTTACAGAAACTGAAATACGAAAATGCCGGTATGACGTCATACCGATATACAAAAATTCCAAATTTCCAATTTTGTAATAGTAATTGTAATTTGTAATTACCAAAAAAGTATAAATTTCAAAATATTTAAATGTTAAGTAAACTCGTCTTCCTCGGTAAACAAGTGAAAACAGCAAAGTAAATTTCCAAGTAGAGCAAAAACTTGAATGTTTCAAGCCTCAAGTGCCAAGCTACCCCCGATAAATGTAAAAGCGAAAGCTCGTTTGAACGACATCGAAGCTATATGTTTCCAGGAGGGAAAACTATCGCGGATATACAGACGAACGGTGAATGATTTTAACGATCGAACGAGGAGCGTTTCTTGGAATAAAGATCATGATGGCAGAGGACAGAGGGGCGCGTGTCGCGGCGGAAGTGAAGGCGCATCGTTGCAGCGGCACGTGGGGGCCTCGGTTCGCTTCCTAATGGGGCCGTGGACGATTTTGCGTGGCCGTAGGGTGCGCCCCCGATAAATCAAACAGACTCTGGCCGTGGGAAGCATAAGTCAGAGGCCTCCGGCAATCATTGTATTTGCAAACATCGGAAGTTTACTCGGTACAGGAGTAGAACCGCCGAATCGAAAGGAATCCTCCAGATCCCACCCCGTTCAAGGCCTATCTCCACTTCTCCTAACCGTTTATCTTCTTTCCATTCGCCATTATCCAAGCGTACAAAAATTCGTCTACTCTATTTTCCAAATTGGGGTGAAAAACATTCGTCCGCGCTATTTTACAAATTGGGGAGAAGAAAATTCGTCCGCGCTATTTTCCAAATTGGGGAGAAAAAGAAATTCGTCCGCGTTATTTTCCAAATTCGGAGAAGCAAATTCGTTCGCGCTATTTTTCAAATTGGGGAGAAAAAGAAATTCGTCCGCGTTATTTTCCAAATTCGGGAGAAGAAAATTCGGTGAGAAAAAAGAAATACGAATATCACACTGTACGATAACAACCAAAAAATAATCAAACTCTATTGGCCTGTATGGAAATAAAAGTAGGAAAAAAAAAAACAAACAAGAATTAGCAAAATCTCTTTTCCGACGTTACACTAATATATCGAAACGTAACAACATCCGGTACACAATGCCTGGAATAAAAGTTTATCGGTAAATCTAGGACCTGGTTCGATCAGCTTGTTTACCCCGTGCAAGCTTCGTTCTGATTGTTTGCGTGTATATTACATTTACAAACGGGGCCCTCTCTCGTGCCGGATAAAATGAACAGGTGAAGAGTAAATTTGACGTGGCCGTCGCGAGAGCGGTGATGTTACAATTCGTATAATACCGTTGCTAATTATAATCGCGTGGAAGTGAACGCTAGCAAATTTTCAATGTAAACGCGAGTCCACTGTACGTTCATCTTTGTTATTCCGTTCCCAGAGAGAGGTTGGGATCGAATCACCTCGATATTCCGCGAGGAACGCTAATCGTTGCTGCTGCACGCGTCTATTTCATACAGAGCAACGTGAAATTTCTTTATCGAGTTAACACACGTATACAGGGAGGGAAGATCGGTGTATGTGTGCGAGCATATAGACATTATCCGCCATTCCCTCTGGCCGTTTGCTCGTCTATTCGACGCGCATCGAAATATTTGCCAGATTTTCCAAAGCGTGCACGCATAGAGACTCTGTTTCAAGGGAGAGATTGTCGGTAGTCAGTTAACGATTCGTTGCTAAATTCGAGGATGGTTGGATTCTTCTCTAGTGTGGTCATCCTGTAAGTTACGTCGCTTCTTTTCTACACATGGAAAAGATATACTTTTTTTTATTTATTTTCTCTAGGTTTAATTTGCAGTCATTTTCGAAATATAGAAAGCGGACTGAGAATTTGGTAAATCTGGGCAGCTTGTTTGAAGATGTTGAGCATGAAGGTGTGCTGTATTGTTGAATGATTAGATTTGAAAAATGAATGGTAGATGAAATTAAACAATTGAAGTGAGAATTAATACCACATTTACCAGATTCTCTTAACCATTGGGTTACCATCTATTTCGTTCGCGAGGAAACTTTTTAAATGGTAAAATCTTCGCAAATACAGATCACCGAATGTTGACGTTGGATCGGTTTGGTAATACTGAAGATAGGAATTTTTTTGAAAAGAAGAAAAATGGCAAATGGTCGAAAATTCAGATCACTGAAAGTTGACGTTAAGAATTTGTTTAAAAGAGGGAAACAGATTGCCTAAAAAATGGCAATATATCATTGATTAACAATAAGTATAAATACCATTATTTTTGTATCGAAACTAGGTTTCTAAAATGACACAACTTGCGAGATGACCTAATATTCTCCTCCTTTTCTTAGTTCCAATTATTACAAACAAACAACTAAACAATTTCCCCCATTTCGTCCACTCTCCCGTCGTTTTCCCTTTTTTATCATCAACTGATAAAGAAGAGGAGATTCTCCTTGGTCGATTCGATACGCTAATCAGCGGAGGTTCAAGTAAGGGGATGAAAAAAAAAAGCCTGTGTACTTAATATAAAGTGCTTCCTCGTGTAACGTGATATCGATAATCGACGGGAGTCTTGTGTTGATTCTTTCTTGCCGCTTTAAAAACACCAGCCTCGGGCGCTTTATTGGCCTTTTTTTTTTTTTTTTTTAATATCCTCGACCGTATATATTGCCCGATGAGAGAAAGAGAGAGAGAAAAAATCTCATTGTCGGCGGCAAGCTGATTTTTCTCGCTACCCTTCTTCGCGTTGAAGATCGTAAATGCGAAGAGTAACGATGTTTGAAGGTTGGCGATGCGCAAATTCACAGTTTCCTATTCGCGAAGATTGTACCGAAGTTCTTTCCAAATTGGGATTAAATTGCATACGCGATACATTTCCGTGCAACTTCCGTTTCTATGGAGATTGAAATCCTGCGAGCCTACGTGCGCCTCTCGTTCACGGAACGTAGCAATTAGGCGAGTCTTACGGGGTGAGCGTCGCGAGATCCTTCGAATTCGATCGAGCGAAGCGGCGAAGTGTATCGAAATTTTTGTTTTTAACACTAACTTGACATCCGGTGGAACTCTGGCACGTACTGCTCGCTGTCCTCGGTCTCGCAGCTGCTCCCTGTAATGCGATTCAATCAAAGTACAACTTGAAACGGTCGATTTCTTTGTAACTTAGGAATCGTCGAGAAATATGAATTGTATCTCCGTAATTATTATATGGATTTCTATGAAAAAATTCAGGTAACACTATAATATATGTGGGAACAACTGTGCAAAATTTCAGAATGATAACTCGAGCGGTTTTTATCCTATAAAATTCCAAAGATACCCTACTTTCGCAACCCCCGTCTCTTCCATTAACGATTGGCTAACAATAAGAATCACCCTCTGTGCGAGTATAATTTCGTAGAAGCCAGTAGGTCCCCTCGTTATCGCGATTATTACACTGCATCCACCGTGCATTACATTAAAGTTCGTCAAAATAATCAAAATTAATGTTCCGGATAGTTTAATCACGCTCGAGGAAGATTTACGAATAGAGCTTCGCTATCAGCTCGATAAATGGATCGTTCCCGTTCCTCGTTACATTTTCCAACAACGAACAATGTCTACGAGAATGTTACGATACGCTTCTGAGTTTCCAGAAACTCGCAGTCTTGTTCCGCTGAAAGGGAACTGGAACGGAAGTCGAGTGTTTTAAAGCTTTACACTCGACTTTCCTTTCATAATTATTGCATTCAATCCAAGTAATGGAAAACTACGTTGAAGCATCGAGAATTTTCACTACGGACAAATAATTCCTTTGAAATCTCCCTATTTTTCACGAGTTTCGACGATATTCGAACGATAAACGACGAAAAATAATAAGTAAAAAATATCCGCCCGAACAGGGACTTGAACCCTGGACCCCTAGATTAAAAGTCTAATGCTCTACCGACTGAGCTATCCGGGCAGCTGATACCTACACTTTTTAAAATCTCTATATGTACTTAACTAGCCTATTTCACATACAAAATTCTGTTTTTTCCATTGAAAATATAATAACTTCTTAGATAAATTGTTTATAACAAAAGCTACTTACCATCCTGAAGCCACGGCTCTTGCCTGTATTCCTGTGTGGGGTATATTTCATTCTCTGAAATCAATTTTACACGACCGTTTCTAAAAATATTACAACACTAGGTAGCTGTTCCCTATTAGAGCGAATCTAGGTTGCGCGTAATCTGGAGGTGGAAAGAAATGTGAACTAAGGTCGGCGAACATTGTAGCAAGCTAAATGTTATCTTTCTTGTTCTTACGCTTTCATTACACGAGTCAAGCCGAGGAATTAGCTTAGATAGCGAATCCCACGTTTGCCGTATAATGATTAATGGTTACTCGGGAGATAATTACCCCAGGCGTGAAATTAATGCTTCGTATATTCCCAGCACGTTACATCGTCAACCGCAATGAATATTCATTATTCATCGTGGAATGACAATAAATTCTGACGTGTGTAATTATCGTTGTAACGAGAGACGTTTTCTTAGATAGAAAGAGAAGGAAAAAGGAGAAAAGAAATGGAGGAGAAGTGGACCGAAGAAGGATAGGGAGGAGATAAATAAAGACTAAGTTCTTTAGAAAGACAATCAATATAGGGTAATCAATGTAAGATAATTAATATGATAGAGGTAAAGAAATAAAGATAATTAATATAATATAATAGAAGTTAAGCAAGGTAAGATAGATGTAAAATATTGTAAATAGAAAAGATACAGTCTGGAAGTCATCCGAAGCCAAAAGGCAAGGATTATAATAAAATAGAAGAAAAAGAAAGAAAAAAAGGAGACACTTTTTTGGCTCCTCTCTCTTACTTTATCACGCGGAGAGATGTTTCGGACACGCAATGGCAGAGCGAGTTTCTAGGTAATTATACGCGGGTATGAGACACGATGTCTGAGCTGTAATAAAATTCTAGGACAGGCGGGGGCGTAAGATGGAAACAAAGGCGAGATGCTTTGGTAGGGATGAATCAGTGGCAAAAACAACCCCTTTCGTTGTACATAAGAATGCGGAGAGAAATGTATGCTACGTGGGGTCCGTTTAATGGGCCTCTAGGATTCGCCACGGGTAGCCACTTGTCAGTAACCTCGTTTTCTTCACAGTCACAGTCTCCTCTGACGAATCGAATTTGCTTCGGACTCATAGCTCGTGGATAATAACGCGTTCCGTCTTCGGACTTCAACTTAACGTTGGAGTTTCGGAAGCAACGTTACAAATGGGAAATATTCGGTGTAGAAGTGTCTTCTTTAAGCCATCGAGTTTCTGTGACGATTTTTGCATGTTGGGCGGAAAAATGGCAGAGATTGCGGATTTTTATACATAATTTTCATATTTTTGTGAATGTAATTAAAAAAGTAAAAAGGGCGCGTACCATAAAGTGCCATTTCTAGAAAATCGATTTCAAAATTTTCTTTACCGTATTATTTAACGAAGAGTAGTGCAATTAAATCGAAAAGGGAAGTAATATGTTCCTGACATTATTATACACATATATAACACATACCTGAGTCGATTTAAACGACACAAGCCTAAGTTCCCTTTTTCCATCAATGGCCTCAATCGCGTTATTAACTAAGTATTATAGTGAATACCATATTTTCGGTATATTTCCACATTTTTGCTTATCACACGAACTCCGTGTATTTTCACGTCTCCAAATTTTCCCGAAATTAATAAAAATCCGCAGTCTAGTCGGCAATAATGCAAACTATTCCAATTCTTAATCTATTTTCGTTCTTTTCAAATGAAACTTCGATCGTCCCCAAAAATCCTGAAAAAATTCATTTGCAATATTTCACACAAAGGAATACTCCGTATTGATATTAATTCGAACCTCTGCGCGTAATACATTTTCCCCCGCAATTCGCGGAGAAATGTTGGAAAGCGAGCGAAAAGCTGCGAAGGTTCGTTCTTTCGTTGATTCGTCGACGTTTCAATATTTCTTCAACGGCGAATCGTCGTCGCCCGAAATGTGGAACGGGCAGAACGGGGTGGTGTGGGGCGTAACGTGATTACGATAGAGAAATTGCAGCATTATAGGCTGTGATTGAGTTAGGTGGAGGCGGACCATCCTGGCTGGTGGTTCACACCACGGCATGCCAATGTTAGATATAAAGTGTCAATCACTGCTCCCAGACGACGGCTAGGGTGGTTTACGAATCCTACGGGGGTACGGCCACCCCATGGGGCTCTTTGCGGCGATAATACGTTGCTTATTGAATTCGTCCTCGGGCTTCTCGCCGTGTCGACGCGTTTCTGGGTCAAGGCTGAGCAAAACTAACGGTACCACAGGGACTAATTCACCGAAGTAGCCTGAATTCTGTTACACGCCGACCTGGCAAATTAGAATTCTAATTAGCGTAGAACGCTGAACACTCTCGGTGCGATTTTTGGTAAACGCAGTGACAAATTAGCGTTGTAGTAATGTTCGTCTTTTTCTAGGTAATTTTGAGATGTGAAAGAGGGTTGTGAATGTGGAGATCGACGGGGGTAGAAGGCAGGTCCTTTGCGGAGACCATTTTTAATGGGAAAACTCCGAAATAGTGTGCGATGAAAGGGAAGACTTTTTCTTTGCTGATAGAGACAGTCGCCCGAGTTGACTTAAAGTTCCAGGAGAGGTTTTATGGTCTTTAGAATTGTCCGCTGACTGTCTTTGCATTGAAATTTGTATCAAATTATTATTACCATCACTTCTGGCAAAATTTCACAATAAACTGTTATATGAAAAAACGTCCTTCTCGACAATTAAAAGGGAAGAATTTCTCCTTGCTGGTAGACAGTGTTGAAAAATCGTCTAAGAGTCGTCTGAATCGTTTCATGGTCTTCAGAATTGCCCGATGACTGTCTTTACCTTGAAATTTGTATCGAATTATTCTTAAAATTACTCATGGCAAAATTTGTCCTTCTCGACAATTAAAAGGGAGAATTTTCCTTACTGATAGAGACAGTGAATCGTCTAAGTCGTTTTATAGTCTTTGGAATTGCCTGATAATTGTCAAAAAGCGAAGGAAAAAAAGAAATTTGCAAACTACGTCGGATTGAAGGAGCGATCAGGCTGTCCCGAAGTTTCACGTGATCTTAAAACGTAATTGCAGCGAGGACTCGTAGAAAATAATATCATCCTTGATGCGACTATATAAAGATATTGACTCGACTGCCTGCCGTTGACAGGCTCTCTTCAGGGGGTGGTTCCCTCTTCGCCCCGTTGTACACAGTTCGCGTACATCCTGCACATGCTCGCTACGCCTTCTGCCTGCGTGGATTTTCTTCTTCAACCACGGAACGTCTCGCGCGTCTGTATACGTGTGCGTGTTTGCGCCCAAAGACTCGGTGTGTCACGGCGATGTTCCCGGGGCAACGTCGTATCAAAGAGCTTCAAAATCGCAGCTCCTCGAGAGTCTCTGGGGTCAGGGGAACAGGGGAGATGGTGACCCGAACGCTGGTGACCGCCCCTCCACTCTCCTCCTCGATTTCGTTCACGAAAAGTCTCGTCTCCGAGATACGAATACCTTGGCAAACTGATCGAAATATCCAACTTCTTCTTCTTCCTCCTCTTCTTCTTCAGCTTCTTTACTTCTCTAGACGTTTCATGCGTTGTCGATAGGTATTCTCTGTCTTTTACTTACCAGGGTGGAGCTTCTCCTCGCTGCTGGCTTGGCTGACGGAGTAGTTGGTGGAACAGTATCCTGTGGACACTGTTTGCAGCGGCTCGTTCAGCCTGTTGAACTCTTCGTTCGGCTGGAAAGAGAAATTTTCTGGTAACTGGGTGAAATTCGGGGGGAAAGACGAACTTATAGCTGAATCTTTCGTTACTCGATACACCAAACACTTAACAGGTGTATTTTTGCGTTATACAGTCTCAGGTTCCTTCGTTTCAATTCAATTTTCCGGGGTAACTGGGTGAAATTCGAGGGAAAAGTCAAACTTCCAGCTGAATCTTTCGTTACTTGATACACCAAATCTTTGCGATAAACTGCACTTAACCCCTTAACATATGATTTCTTTTCTGACTGTGCATCTAAGCGTCAGCCATTTACAGTTTTAGTACTGTATCAGGTGGCAAAAGCTAATCTGTCACAGATTAATTACATTTATCAATCCTTAGTGTTACGAATTCAAACGAAAGCTAACTAATGCAACTATTTTTCTCACATCTTCACCAGAATCTCTGCCACGAGTCTGACACGTTGTTACAGGTTAAAGGGTTAACAGGTGTATTTTTGCATTGCACAAACTCAGCTTCCCCCGTTTCAATTTGAACGGCAGCGAGGAACAGATTCTGTCGTCGGGCAACTGTGGAAATAGTTTCTCGTTTTTCAGCGGCGTTCCATCGGGTGGGAGAGAAAAAAACGACCAAGACAATCGACGCGAAATTGATGTAAAATCGTAGGAAGAGAGGCGCGAATTCGAGCCAGAAAGGAATATAGCGGGGAACGGGGTTTTAAGTAAAGCAGCCGTAGAGTTGGCACAATGAGAAAGAAGAAGAAGGAGAGAGAGAGAGAGAGTGAGAGAGCGAGGCAGAGAGTGGAGGCAAGGAGGACATCCGGTGAACGATTGGATGGTTTCCTCCTTGCGGAGCAATCTAGTGGTAAAGCCGGTTACCGGTTTTGGAAATTCCAATAACGCCGTGTTGCCGTCTGCTTTTCCTTTATGAAGTTCCAACTGCGGTCTCTCGCGATCGCTTACACTTTAAAATCGAAAAAACCACTGTACTCTGCTCGAAGGAACCTCCGAACACCTAACACACCAACAGAACACTCTTCAACTTTTTTCTTCTTCGGACAATCTTCGAAACATTTTTCTCGATTTAAGATCGAGCAGAATGTGTTTTTCCCCCTTTCTTTTTTTCTTTTTTCAACGGCGAATGTAATTATTTTATCGCTAGTCTACTCGTCTTTCTTTTGCGTTTAATTAACCAGGATATTATCGTTTATAAAGACGTAATCAAGTTCCTTTTTCACAGGTCGCACGGTGGTCTTACGTTCATTGCCTCGTCCCTGGATTCCCTCCTCTGATTGCAATTAATAGTCATTTATAATTAGTCGCCGCGATGGCTCAGCACTCGTAATCCACAAGTTGTACCCTCTAATATAAATTTTAATTACATTCCCCGATATTACGTTCAATCTTTAATCCAGCCAACCCGATATCAAAAGGTATTTAACCGCGCGACATCGTCCAACGAGGGGATGAAAAATCTATCAAATTTACAATTACAACATATCAATTCTTCTCTGTGGAATTTCCGAAAAGCTGTGACTATGTAGAATTTCTAAACGGCTGCGAGTCTCGATGGAAAAGTTAATCGAGTGCGTTGACGAGGCAATGGCTCGTAAGGAAAACGTGCAAACATGGTCGCGTGTCGTTTAACTTTTTCTCCTGTCCATCCATCCCCCTTTCCGTGTAAAAGACTCGCCTCGTAAGTGGATCTCGTTTGGGGTACGTGTGCCATCTAGGATGGTACAAGCGTGCTCGTGCGTTTGTACCTAGTGAAAACGAGATACATACCCATGAATCTACCGGGGGGAAGAAGGGGAACGCCCCATCGTTCCCGATGATGCTGCAAAGGGGTCGTCACCCCAATCCCTTTCGTACACCACCCTCGTAATTGCGCACTTCGGTTCGGTTTATAATAAAGTCATCGAGCAGACAACACGTTCTAAACAGACTCCCCTTTGTATCTGTGGATTGCGGCGATTTCGCTCACCGATTCGCGTCAAGGCGAACAAGTCTCTTGGACTAGTCTGATTAACCTAAGCTCTACGGTGAGTTTTTTGGAGAATCTTTCGATATTTCGAAGGATTAAAATAATCGAGTGCTCCACTTTGTATCTGTGGATTTCGGCGAATTTCTTTCACCGATTCGCGCGAAGGCGAAAAAGTCTCTTGGACGAGTCTGATTAACCTAAATTCTTCCCTGAATTTCTTCGAGAATCTTTCGACATTTTTTAAGTAAGCGATTGGAATGATCGAATGCTCCTTTTTGTATCTGTGGAGTTCGTCGATTTCATTCACCAATTCGCATGCAAGTGGAAAAGTTTTATTAACCCAAATTCCTCAGTGAATTACTCGGAGAATCTTTAGATATTTTCGAAAATCAGCGATTATTCTCCTTTGTATCTGTGGATTTCATTAATTTCGTTCACCAATTCACACGAAGACGAAAAAGCCTCTTAGAAGAATCTGATTAACTGTGAATTACTTTGAGTAACTCTGAATACTTCCCAAGTACCATATGGTTGTAAAGTCTCACTCTCAAGAAATCAACGTAGGAGTGGTACCTCACTCTTCCAAGGTACAAGACGAATTTTGCGATTCTCCTTTCATTAACGACCGTTCAATTCCAACAAAGCCTTGGTCGTCCAATTTGATCAATTAGGAGAGAAGGCGTTGCCACTTTGACGAGAAAACCTCGCCCTTTTTTCTCGTCCGTCGCTGTCTCGGACGAGGGTGCGAAGACAATGATGGTTTCGAAGGACAGAATACGAACAATACCGTGGATGACAGGATTCACGATCACAGTGTGTCACCGACGGAGTCTATCTACTAATTGCTCTCTCGATACACTCTATTTTTCCCTTCTCACGAACAACCGAAACAAAAAATACGCGCCTTTGAACTTTTCCATTTCCATCCGGCAAACCTAACTTCCTCCTAGAAACGTATAAAAAAACAGCGACCCAGGTAAATTTACACGGTGTTGAAAACGTGTCCTATTGTCGAGCGAAGGGGTCCCTAATCATGGGAAACTCGAGTGGCAGCATATGCTGCCACTGCAGGACGGTCAATTAACGCAACGGGGCGGGTGTGTGGGAATCGAGTGATTTTTAGAATCAACAAACATAAATCAAGTGTTTCCGCGAGCGAGACGTCGCATTCTCCCTTCGTTTCTGTCGAGGGTGTCCGGCGACCACCCACTGCTCGCCCGGTATCATAGTCACGGTGGTGGTTCCGTGTACAGTGGGGACCAGGAGGGTTGAATGGTGGCGACAATTACGTGTTTAGAGGGCACAAAAGGGGTGGCATCCGTGGGACGATCCATTGGAGCGTGGTGGCGCGTGCCACGGCAATTCGACACTCGAGGATCATCGCGACGCATTATGCGTTCGCCAACCTCCGCTACGCTCGCTGTCCACGCTTATGACTCCATTGTGTCGAAAGATGGGGGGAAGAAAGGGAACCGGAAACGGGAGTCACGTTGCTTCGGTGACTCTTTCTTTCAGTCGATTTGTAACGTCCGTAACCTTATCTTATCGTCTGCGATCTTCTCTATAAGCGTGTATAATTATACCTTTAACTGACCGACAGGTGAACGTTAATTGATGCAAAATTACACATAATTGCCCGCGAGGTAAACACAATATCTACAATAATGCGTTTGAATAATTAATACAGACATTGTCGATGAATTATTGAATTTCCCAACGCAGTGTCTGACTTAACAAGCCTTCTGTATCGAAGTAGTCGAACTACTACATCTCCACTGACTTACCAGTCTGGCCAGGTCAGTCGCCGTTGCAGGCACCTCTTGATCCTGGTTCATCCTTATCACCTCCTCCTCGGTGCCTCTCGGTCGACGAAAAAAAAAAATGGTCCCTCACCAGAGCACGAGTTATCGATAAGACGAAAGTGTCACACGAACTGTCGCGTATTTTTACGAGATCACGTTGCTGCACCGTCAAGATCAAAGATAGGACTGAGACGAGTGATTTGATCTCGGTGAACGGTGAAAAGACAGGGTGTATGCAACGGGGGTTGTGTCTACTGTACGTCTACGCCCACAACGTGGTATAGAAGTCAGCCCTGCGCGAGTACGCTGACTAGGGGGTTGCTTCCAACCCCTGCTTGGTAGGCGGGGCCTCGAAATCATTGGTGACCTTCTCTCTTCGTACGAAGCTCGGTGCTTCGAGAACACCTACGAGAACACCTCTCCTCGACAGGGATTTTCTGTTAATCTTGCGAAACGTTTCCCTAACTCCGCGATATTCTGCGCCCTCGATGCCATTCGTACTCCATTTTCCATCGAACAATTCTCCGCGTCTTCTCGAATAAATGGATTGTTATCTAAAATTTATCGCGTCGACTCTTTCGGATACTTCGAAGACGCACGCCGGAAGTTTGTATGAGAAATTTCGACCCGTGAATGATTAATTGAATGCTGTACGGTGCATCGCGTTATCTCTGATATCGTAATACAAGAATAACGTGGTACGTTAAGTTTTGAAATTTAGTAACGATTAAAGGTTAATTCGATGTTTCTGTTACCGTGCTACTTATGCACCTATTAGGTGATAACGCGGGAAACCTCTGGATCAGTTTCCCTTCGTTGATAACTTATTATCGAACGATGGAATATATTGGTTTTTATAAGAAGATTTTTTAGAACGATCTATAAGAGAATTTGATCTACAGACGTGTATATTCCTCGTGTTAATATTTGTAATCTACTCACTTTGATGCTAGTCCAAAAAGGTAATAACAAGTTTGCGTGCTGCGTTTATTTGCATCAGTAATGTTGACGAGTAAGCGTTGTTATAAATAGAGTATAATATAAATAATTATCGCGTAATAAACAATCTGGAAGTATAAACGCGCGATCTAACTTTGCATATACAGGAAATGTAGAATACGGCATACACGAAGCGGCATCTGTCGGTGACTTTACTGATGTATTTATCGATACTTCGCGCCTCCACCCATGGATTCCGCTACTATTCGAATATTTTGTCGAGAGTACATGCGCAGATTCACGAAGAAATTTAGATCATATTTTCTGTAACATTTGCTACCTCGTGCTTTTAACTTTATGCGTGAACCGACGTGACTGCACGTGTTGAATGAAGCCAAGAGCGTTGCGGTTCCTACGTAATATGACGCCGATTTTCCTTTCGTTTCGTCCATGATATCGTTTCGAAGAGTTGTCGTCTCTAATGTAACGTGATTATCAATGGATATTGCAATCGCTGGAGAAGATTTATCATTGTGACAGTATATTACATCACCGTAAGTTTCGACAGTGTGTTTGGACAATTTTTAAACGTTTGTCGATCGATGAGATCTATACCCAGCCTCGTTGGCAATGACTTTCTCAGGACTATTGTAAAACGTATAAAAATATTCTGTGGCAGTTTGCTTATCATTTGTGTATCATGTTGATAGTTTGAGATGACAGTATGTATTGTTTCGTTAAAATTGTTTAAAAATTCTATCTGAACCATTTGCCGTTAGTTTTCTGTACGTTTTAATAAATCGAACTTGAATATACGCGTACAAAGATATGTATAAGACAGTGTGACAAATTTAAAACACGTTCGTTCTATTATTATATCGGGTAATAAATTACGCCTCCACGCAGCGAGTTTGTTGTTCTTTACTGTTTAATAATTCTAGAAATATTTAACACGAGTAATACATTTATGTAAATGTTTTTTTCCTTGGCAGTTTTGTGTATGGTTTGGGTATTAATTCCCAAAAAATATCAATGAGATATGCAGTGTCAGATTGAACAACAGCAACCACAAACCTCACTGTATGAATATTTTAATTCTGTTGGACTTAACAGTGGCATAAATATAAAAGATGACTGCAGTAGAAACTCCTCATTTAATTCGTACCATCGAGTGGGATATGATGGACAAGACAAAGTTCTTTCCATTGAGCATGCTATCGTCGTTTTCTGTTCGTTGTTGTCTATATCCCTTAACAGTAATCAAAACTCGTTTACAAATTCAAAGGCACAACTACATGTACAATGGTAAGTTTACAAGTGAAATCCAATTGTGACATTGAAGTTCAAGTATTGCTTTTTTCAGGAATGATAGATGCCTACAAAAAAATTTACCAAGTTGAAGGTGTGGCAGGTCTTTACAGAGGATTTTGGATAAGTTCTGTACAAATTGTATCCGGTGTATTTTATGTATCTACGTACGAAGGTGTACGCCATTTACTTGGACAGAATGATGTTATAGGTAATGTAGATTCAAGAGTTAAAGCATTAGTTGCCGGCGGAGCTGCTAGTCTGGTAGGACAAACAATAGTGGTCCCCTTTGATGTTTTAAGTCAACACTTAATGGTTCTTGGGATCAGTAATGATAAACCAGGAAGATTTATCGACAAGGTAAGCTTAAGGAAAAGGAAACGTTGTCCCCTGCATTTTATCGCTTATTTTACGTTTACAGATGGGTATGAATCCATTGGGTTTAACTCTTGAATCTGGGAAAACCAAAGCTCAGATTTCTGCTGAAATTATTAAATCAATTTATCGGAGTGACGGATATAGAGGTTTCTATAGAGGATATGTTGCATCATTGTGTGCTTACGTACCCAATAGTGCCCTGTGGTGGGGACTATATACATCTTATCAAGGTAATTTTTACTTTTTAGATAAAAATATAAAAACTAAATTAAGCTTGGTTGTTTTCTTTCTGTTGACAGAAGAGCTTGTAAGATTATTCCCAGACTGGGTTTCTCACTTGTTCATTCAAGCTGTTGCTGGCACATTAGGAGGATTTACCACCACAATTGTTACCAATCCTTTAGATATAGTACGAGCAAGATTACAAGTACAAAGATTAGATAGTATGTTTAGTGCATTCAGGGTTCTATGGGTTGAGGAGAGGTTACAGATGTTTACGAAGGGACTTTCCGCGCGTCTTGTACAGTCAGCTTGTTTTAGTTTTTCGATAATTCTAGGATATGAAACTATTAAAAGGGTCAGTATAACGGAAAAGTACAGAGGTTATATTAGGTGGTGAACTTGTTCTCTAAAAATTTGCAATAATTCTTTTTACGTCAATGCATTTTTTCGACGATTTCTGTTGAACCATACACAGGAATAACCTATAAGCACCAAAGAGAAACGAACCATTTTCTAAATTGTTTTAACAATCTTATATTTGTTATGCAAAATAAAGAATTTAATTGTAATTACGATCAATAGATATGTCGAGATTATTCGAATGTTTTTCTAAAAATAATAAACAATAATTAGTTACAAATTTTAGCAACAATCCAATTACTTATTAGTCGTAATTTACAATCTTTCCTACAATTTTTACAATATCCAAAGTTTCCCATTCTTTCGAAGAAACAACGTATACTTAATAAAAGTCCATTTTGTATTATTACTTTTTTTCGTGTAGCATATACAAAGTACAAACTTTGTAATAGGTGCTAGGTAAATATATCGCTGTGATAAAACTCAATAAGTAAGGTTATCTTTCTATGATATAAGATCGAACGTTGATAAACAAGAAGTAAATGATAACAAGGTTATATTGTGTGCAAAATGTGTCTAATAAATAAATTAATTGTTAGTTGTATTAAATTAACATATGTTGTGTATCGTTTATTTTACTAACTCAGGGTAAATTGGAGGAAGAAATTGACAATATCTTTTCCGTTTCACTTTTATTATAAAGGACAGCATATTGATAGACACATTGTTTGTCGAAGGTACTTACGTGGTCTCAATAATGTGACTCTTGTACATGAATCGATACTTTTTACGTTTGCGCGCTATCTATTTCTTAAAAATTAAATACAATACGTTTTCCGTTTTTTTTTCTTCACAATATTTATATGGTATGTACAGGCCAGGGAAATCTTCAATTCCCTATTTATGCAATACAATGCGAATTGCATACACAGTCACGTTCTTGCCACTTTTATGCGTATAATTATTCGACAGCATACTTTGTGAGATGAAAGTCTTAATGCGTACATACTGTTAAACGCAGCTTCAAGTTTTTCAGTAATAGGAGTTGTATGTATGTAGATACAGAAAATGCTCTCTGAGAACAGTGTTTTTCAACGAAGACGTCATCGGTATTAATCCAGAATTTGCTATTATTTCACGCACTTTTAACTTTAACACAACGAGAACATATACACCTGGGTAAACGACGTGAATTCTACAAGTAGAAAGTTACGAGTAACGTTTAAATTTAGCGCCTAATTTTTCGGGGTTATGAAAAACACTGTTTCAGAGTAGAGTTTACGATTTTATTTTCTCTTTCTTCTCATTTCGATTCAGCGGTAAGAAGTAGATCGATATTTTCTTCTCTTCGATTTTTTTTTATGCAACGGTCTTTATAGACGATTTTCTTCCGTTAAACTTTCAAACGCTAACGAACTTACAGTATCTACAATGACTAGAGTTGTTAAGGCGGCAACCAATCACGCGCCATTTCTTTCATGCTAGTGTTTTTTAAAAGAATGCGATTGTTCTGCGAACGTTCGCACATTTTTAATCGCGATAGTTTTGTTAAGTGAAAATAAGTGGTTTAAAGTGTAAAAAGTGATTCCGGAAACAGAATTAATTGGATCAAGAGAGGAAAAAGCAGCGGATTTATGTTGAACAGAATGGCCAGACCAGTCTTCGTTGATTTGAAATCCGAGGTAAGTCATTCGTTTATTTCAACATTAACAGGTTCTTCATTTTTCTTCATTGTGCCATTAGCAAGTACCGAAACTGTACTTTTCCACGCAAATAATCAACGTGTCGTAGCTGAGACAAGCAAATTACGTAGTCTTTGTGAACAATAAACTTTCGATAGGAATTTTCTCATAACCTTTTTTAGCAAGATGGGACTGAATCAATACTGAATATATTTTTTTACCCGATGAATCGTACCGATACGCGTTCTGTTACAATTTCTCGATATACCTATACGTCTTACATTATTCATTTCATAGTGATCTATTATTTACAATTACACGACGATGTTTTATGTACACCGATGAACCCCTATACTAATAAGAATCTCGATAAAATAAATAATTATTCTGCAAAAATATCCACTATAGAATGAAGATTGTCCATTACGATAATCACGTGACGTTCGATTTTCGGATAAGTATCAATAATCGAGGAAACGATCTTCAGCTATATTCAAATCAATCCCAAATTGAATCGAACAATTTACTTCGAACTTTAACGAAGCTAGAATCATATTCTCCAACGTTTATTCAAAATGCAATCGTTATATCGTCATCTTATTCATCGGTTAAGTTACATCGGCCTTGGTTCATGTTTCACGCTGTGTTAGTCTCGTCGTAAACAGAGTACGAGGAACGACAGGGCGATACTGTTTCGTGGAATTTCGTTCGACGGCGTAGCAAAAACAGTCAGCTTCAGTTTGTGTACTTTCCTGCCGCGTTCGCATTTCAACACGTTCGACGTACATAGTCCTCAGTCGTAGACGATTCGCGTCGGTTGGTGTTTCTCCGTGAATACGGGCTCCTTGCCTCGCCTAATATTCCGTGATCGACGTGATACGACTTCCGTTAGAAAATCTAATTTTTCCCCAAGGAGACAGTGTTACTTTCCTCGCAAAATGTGTCTTTTTCGTGCGCGCCCTTGTGTGTTCTCTATCGCTTTCGCGTAATTTTAACTCTGCGTACATCTCTCCATCTCTCTCTGGATCATCCTTCGAAAACACCATGGCTACCGTGAAGTGTATACTGCGTTAAGCGTCGCCAAAGTTACGATCGTCAGTCTTTTGGATAACATGCAACGCAGGTGAGAATGGAAGATTGTGTTTTGTATAAAGGAACTCGGTTCACGGTTTCCAGAAAGCGTAAACAATGTTTGTTAGGGTGTAAGGCGCGTTGAGGTCGAGAAACGTTCGCCGATCCGTCTTATTGTTTTGAAGGTCGCCGGTGAATTGTATATCGATGATGCTTAAATGCACGATTCCGCGTATACGAAGGTTCGCTAAAAGGCTACGAAGTATCGAAGGTATTGGAACGTAAGAACGGCAATTCACGTCGCCGTATCCCCGCAATTCGATTCGCTAAATCCTTCGCCGGAGGTACAAAACGCGAGACTAGTTTCTATTTACAAGATTCGCAGTTGTTAGATTGACTCATAAGCAATTGAACACAGCGTATTAGGCAGGGTGTTAAGAAAACGCTCTACCATAAGGTTGTTAATCGCGCCAAGTATTACAAACCCCTAAAGACCTTTCATTTTAACACCCTGTACGACCATGAATAAATACGGCACGAATCAATCAGTTAAGTCAATACAACAGATACAATTACTTATGAATTAACCCAACAAAGTGTGGCGTCTCGTATCGTGACGCTTCTCGTGGTCCACTGTTCGCCGCCGTTAATAAGAATTCAACGACAGAAAATCATCTATTCTCTGCTGTAAATCCTTCGTCCACGTTGTCGAGGAGACAATGACACCGGGGGTCGGTGAGAGGCATCGTCGAAGAAATTCGTCTCGTAGCCACGTGATGATCTCGTACGATTATCCTTCCTTAGCTACACAAATACACCATTCAACCAGATTTGTCCAGATCGAATCGCAGAACGATTCCTCCGGAAGAGAGCCTACAATCACGTGTCCCGAAAACGGATCGCTCGTGCTCGACGAGGCCCAGTCCGGGCCCCCGAGTGACGTCACATTCCACCGCTAGGTAGCGCAGTTGCAGCGCCACCATCGCTGCTCTGGCTGACGCTACTGTAGCTGACGCTGCTCGCCTGTCCACCGGTGCCCGCGCCGGAAACGTACTGCAATCAGAACGATTATATTCTATAAAAAAAAAAGGCAAGCATTTTTCGTGGCTTCGTGTGTCATAGATCGTAGACCCTGTGCTTCAGTGCGCGTATGTACAATTGAGAGAAGTAAAGAGAGACAGATAGATAGACAGAGAGAGCTTGATGATTGGGTCGTGATCGAGTTAGCCGTAATCCGGTGTTAGATTGGAAAAGGTGCCTGTCCCCCTTTCTATACCCCCACCAAACCCTGCGAAATATCGAGCTCCTTTATCCCTTAAAAATTTAGACGTTTGTGACGTGTTCGTAACGTTGTGAAACAATCGCCGATTATTTTCAGCGATTACCGAAGATACCGTGAAACTGCGTGATCTTCGTAAGATCGAACGTAGTGAATTTTTGTAATACGAAACTTCGTAAAGTATCCCGTTATGGGATAAACGTAAGCAGCCTCGTATGCATCGAGTGTGTTGTTTACGCGATATGGAAGTTGTAAGTTAGCCTAACTCGAAGGGAATCTGGGTCGATCGTTTTTTAGAAAGGTTCTTTTTTTTCGTCGTGGAAACAATTCTCGGGTCGGTGAGGTTAGGTTATGCTCGGTCGAAGTAGGGGAAGATTGGCTTTTGTGAGGATGAAAAATGAAATGGAATAGTGGCGCAACCGGGCGTGCCTGTTAATGCTGCTCGTGCATTAGGACGAATTATCTTGCATCGCTCGTGTAACTCGCGAACGATATTGATGCACGTGTATATGTGTACCCGCATCGCCTGCTCCTCTGTAATACGTCCTGTTTGCTTTATCGTCCAACGCACTATCTTTTTATCACATTCTGTTTTCTCATATTCTAACAGTTATCATAGATGGCCTTGTTTCGATGATTCTTTTTAGAATTAAAACGAAGTCGAGGATTTTTCAATTGTTTCGCTTTAAACAGAAGCTTATCTTTAGTCGCGCTTCAGTCTCTTCGAACGCATTCACGTATCGATCCTCGAAGTTACGATATTTCTGTTTCTCTTGTAACTTTTCCTCTCTTGAAGTATCTCCAGAAAAATACATTACTAGGTCTTTAGGAAATTGATCGTAAATCGCTTGGTATTAAAAAAATTAGCAATTTCCATAGAAAAAATAATTGGAAGTTTCAAAGTGGGATTTTTCGATCGTAAACGATTTCGCTCGCGTTGGTTTCTTTTTCTAAATGAAAGTACTTCACGGTTTTTCATTTCGTTCTGCCTTCGGCGCGGAATCCGCGGCGATGAGTGGTGGATAGCGCAGCCACGTGACGATTGAACGATTTTCGATGGATCATCCTGGTAAACCGAATAACTGAAAAGTCGACGAGCGGTGGAAAAATTGTCACCGCGAATGCCGTATCGATTGGTGGGCCGTTTTCGCGGATGAAACATCGCGCTGAATCCGCCTGCTGGGATTGTCCCAACAGCGCTGTCTTTAACTCAATTATCCGCCGAATGTCCTGCAAACGTAGTTACCATTTTTTCCATTTTTTTTTCGATCCTCGATCCAGCAACGAATTGTGCAGTAAATAAAGTATTAGAAATATTCAACTTGTATTTTTCTAATTATCATCGAGGCTTTCAGGTGAAAGCTTTATGGAAAAAGTGTTGCGACGTTTCGCGAGGATTCGTGAAACACACTGATAATTAGAGTGGGGATTTTTATGCAAATTTATAGTTTTCTGAATATAATTAGAAGGGTAGAAGCTAGATAGGCAACTGTTTTATTTATACATTTTTGCGTCTTCAAATTTTCCATAAATGCATGAAAATCCGCATTAGTGTGTTTCACGAACCCTGATAAAGTGAGCTGCAAGGGTTACGAAACGTCGGACTACTTTTTCTATACTTTTTCCACAGCATTGCAGAGCTCACTTCATCAGAGTTCATGAATCATTATGATGGTTATCAGTGATGAGATTATCACGAAACCCGCTGAAGTGGGCACAATGCTTACGAAACTTTGGAATACTTTTTCCATAAAGACACAGGTTCCACCTGGAAGCTTCAGTAATAATTATACTCCGGGCAGTGAAAGCCTTAAATCTTACGTTTCTCTATTTTTCAGAAATGTTGCAAATATAAAATACATAAAATTGTGCTTCGATTTCAGTGCGAAAATTCTTCCAAAGCCTCGATAATAATTATGCTCCAGACCAAGAAAGCCTTAAACTTGCATTTCTCTATTTTTCAGAAACGCCACAAATGGAAGATACATAAAATCGTGCTTCGATTTCAGTACGAAAATTCTTCGGAAGCTACATTAATAATTATACCTCAGGACGTGAAAGCCTTAAATCTTCCATTTCTCTATTTTTCAAAAATGTTGCAAATATAAAATACATAAAATTGTACTTTGATTTCCATACGAAATTCTTCAAAGCTTCGATAATAATTATGTTCCGCGGCGTGAAAGCTTTAAATCTTCCATTTCTCTATTTTTCAGAAATGTTGCAAATATAAAATACATAAAATTGTGCTTCGATTTCGGTACGAAAATTCTTCCAAAGGCTCGATAATAATTATGCTCCAGACCAAGAAAGCCTTAAACTTGCATTTCTCTATTTTTCAGAAACGCCACAAATGGAAGATACATAAAATCGTGCTTCGATTTCAGTACGAAAATTCTTCGGAAGCTACATTAATAATTATACCTCAGGACGTGAAAGCCTTAAATTTTCCATTTCTCTATTTTTCAAAAATGTTGCAAATATAAAATACATAAAATTGTGCTTCGATTTCCATACGAAAATTCTTCCAAAGCCTCGATAATAATTATGTTCCAGACCAAGAAAGCCTTAAACTTACATTTCTCTACTTTTCAAAAATGTTGCAAATATAAAATACATAAAATTGTACTTCGATTTCCATACGAAATTCTTCAAAGCTTCGATAATAATTATGTTCCGCGGCGTGAAAGCTTTAAATCTTCCATTTCTCTATTTTTCAGAAATGTTGCAAATATAAAATACATAAAATTGCACTTCGATTTCCATACGAAATTCCCCAAAGCTTCGATAATAATTACGCTCCGGCTCGTGAAATCCTTAAACTTCCATTTCTCTATTTTTCATAAACGCCACAAATGGAAGATACATAAAATCGTGCTTCGATTTCGCTATAAAATTCTTGGAAACACTCCCCGTATTTGGAATTCAAATAAATTCGAACGATCTCAGTGTCGCGATTCTGCCTTGTTTCCGTAGCACGGGGTAGCAGAGGTTGCGAGCGCAGAACCGCTGGAATCACGACAAGGATAGGAAATTCGCCTCCGCAGTGTTGTTTCGTTCGTTTGATCCCGAGGGGCGGCTAGCGTGTCAACGCAAAAGTTTCCTCGTTTATCCTATCAAGCTCCGAATTCCCCGGAGGCTCGACCGGATCCGATCTCCTGTTTCTTCCACGGCCCTTTCACGGGTTTTATAGTTCCGCCGCTCATCCTCTCGCGGATTAACTAAACTAAAAGTATCTGGGTCAACTTTCGTCCGATCCGATTACAATCTCTTCTCTTCCCTTTCTTCAAAGAACTGCTTCCAAGCAGCTTGCAACGATAACCGATATGAAAGCTTCAACCTCTCGCCTTTTTTTTCTACTATCACTTGAGATGCTAAGACTCGAGCAAAAAGTATCATTGTGATATTGAATCAAGTACACGTCGATGTAACTACGTAAATTGTACACACAGATCGATAGGATTAAAGGAAGATTTATCGTGAAAGTATGAATTTCGGTGCGTATTCAGGAAGAATTTACACGCGCCAGTCTCTGTTTCATCCCACGTAAACAAAGTACGCGTAGCCAGCAGGTGTCGCGTGATTGAATTTATAGCCGAAAGCGAACCGGAGACAATCGAGAATCTGGCTGGTAGGTGTTAAATTGTAGGAAACGCGGTGTCACTGGATGCGAGGCCTCTCGACGCGCCATTTTCGCGGTCGCAACGGCCGAGTTCGCCCGAAGCTACGATACAGTGTTACACTTCGATTTCATTAGCTAATTGGCGATAATACGATAAAAATCGATGATTCTCGAAGTGGAAACGAACTAAACGAAGGTTGAACATGGTTGAAATTTTTCGTTGGACGTGAGATCGCTCTCGAGCGAACTGTAAAGGAATTTGTATAATTAAAAAGGATCTTGGTGGCAAGGGCTGGTGGTAATTCCAGCCTATCGCTGATACTCGCTGCGGCTGGTAGGTGTGTAAAATAAGGGGAAAAGAAAAATTCATCGTGAATAATGGAGAAGCGTAATTAAAACGGGCAGAAAGTTCTATTTTAATTAGTCTGTCTGGATACGGTGGTCTTGAATCGTGACGTTTCTGCGAGAGATTACCACTCAAGCTAAAATTCGATCGAGGAAACGGAAGCGTGGCACGGGAGGATGGAACACGCGGTGCTCGAAAATTTCGCGGCACGCTAATTAGCCGTTCGAGTAGCTTCCATAGGCGGTAGATCATCGGAAATTTCGTCTTTTCGCCGTGGTATAATTCGATACGATCGAACTTGTTACAGAAATTAATCTAATATCAATCGTATCGCGTGCAAACATTCGTTACCAATTTTACTCTATTCAGAAAAAGTGAACGAAAGAAGAAAGTTGGATTAAATCCGGAGTTACCGGCCGCAGAACGTTAATCAACGAAGCCTATAGAGACGTCTAACACCGTAGAACCGCGAGATTGTTGGATCAACGCGATTTCCGCTGGAAACTTTACAGCTTGTCAGAAAGGAACGTGACACGGGTTTGGGCGCTATTTTTCACGGGTCAAACGGGGTGCGAGGGTGAAGGAACGAGCTGCAAATGTCGGTATGAAAGTCCCGAAAAACAAGGGGACATGAATTACGAGCGCGTCTGTCACCGGAAGAGATATAAATGTCGGAAACGGACAGCTCTGGTACCCGGTTTCCTCTTTCTTCGCCCCCCTTCTCTCTGTCCTTCCTACATTTTCCAAATAACAATTTAGAAAAAAAGATATAAATCGTCGGGCGATCTCAGAGGCCTCATCAATCGCTCGACGCCCGATTACCTCCGGACATCTTGTTCAAAGCGAACTTTATCGCGTCTCGTTTGTACGCGTCGATATTTTTCTTTTCTCCGGATTTCTGAAGCCGAGAAAACTTGAGGAAAAAGTGTGACGCGTTGCCACCTGGATTATCACCCACCGTCCTATCTTTCTCGTATGTGTGTAGCTCTTTGTCAGGCTACAAAGTTTGGCTGAGTGAAAAATGCAGACTTTTGACGAGGAAGAGTTATGTACACATGGGGATATTTGTGGTGAAATTCACGGTTATCGGGTTGTGGACCAGGGGCGTTCACGGAGCAGTTTTAGGGGTGAGAATGCCCTTCTTTGCCCTGGGCAGAGTTGAAGAGCAGCGGTCGGGGCAAGTGACGTAGATTGCCGTAAAATAAGTGGGGAGAAAAGGTAGTTTTGGGGGTTTAGGCTCGTAGATAGGCATGTTTTGGTACGTTCTTCACACTTTTCGTACCGTTGCTTACTTTTTTCTATACGTGCCTATCTTCAAAGGATAGTTCTCACTCTTAGATCAGGCGATCACTGCTACATTTATACAGTTCCCCAGTGATCGTTGCTCAAGTAGGCATAGTCTACCGTTCCCACTTATCTGACCATTTAGAGCAGCTTTGTGAGCAGGCCTGCTAGGCACCAAATTTCCAAATTAATATCAGGTTTATTTATTTATGTAATTTTCTTTCCCACAATACTAATCGAACGAAACCGAACTCCATTTGATTCAATCGAACATGAATCATTCTTGTCCTTCTTGAGCAGGCCTGCTGCCTCAGTTAAAACCGATCGCATAAAAAGCACCAATACGTTTCGTTCCATAGAATAGAAAAATCAGAAAACCTTCCTTCTTTCCTTCGATTGTTCTCGTAAAAGTGATTTAACTACTCTCTCTCCCTCTCTCCACCCCACCTTTATCCCTCTCCGTTAATAGAAGCACTTGGAACAGCCTAATAAGAAGTTAAACTCAAGTTGGACGCCCAGTTTCCTTCCTGTTAACGCAGGGTCAGGCTGCACCGTTCAGTTTCCCGAACTAGCTCTCTCTCGTAGCGCGTGAACACGCGGTGCCACGTTCCAATGCCATTTTATGGAGGCCCGGGAACTTCTCCGTCGAGCAAGCTTTCTGCTTGTGTGTCTGAGTGGGCATACGAGCCCCGGTGGAACGAAATAAAAGAAGGGTGAAATTCACGGGCGGGTCGTTGGAGGGAATAAAGGTGGAAATGAATCGTAAACGGGATCGTGATTCCACGGGGCGCGCAACAGGACGAGTTAACGCTCGCGGGGCAAATAGATGCGTTTCGAGCACTGAAGTAGTTTCCAGGTGCGACGTGTGTTCGTTTGAAGGCCTCGCGATATACCATCCGGTTGTTCCTGTGAAACGTTTCATCGGGGGAGGTGTTGGATGAAAAATAGTCGGCGAGACGTGGAACGAGAGAGAGAGAGAGAGGTCCTTTAAACATATATATTCATCGACAAATGAAATTTATCCAGGCCGTTCTCTAATTCCTGCTAATTGTATTTATCACTCGGTGCATTCCATTCGCTCTGATTTCACCGGTAGCGATACAATTTACTCGTTAATCGAGCAACTGCGTTTCCACCGTTTTTTTCGCTCGTTACTCTCGCGGAAAACTCTCTTTCTCCTCTTCGTGTTCGTTTCACACACGAATGCTTCTTACGCTCTCGAATTTCGATCGATCGCATTACGCCACACCGTTGTAATATAATTTACTCCGTGCCGATTAACGAGCGCGAGTGAACGTATCAGGTGATTGATTTCGCCGTGTAAAGTCAGATGACAAATTAAACGAAAGTTGTCGCTACGAAGGTGTACACCAGCTTTTATTAATTATCCTCTGTTTGCATCTCCTTCTTTTCCCCCGTGTCAGCCATGTTTCGTGGAAATTTATGCGACAAAGAGAGAAATTGCGTAACACGGGCACGTTGCATCGATTCAAGGAACACCACCTCATCGTTGTTCCTTGGCCAGATGTTATTCCCCCGCGAGCTGTGTAGCGCCCCTTCTATATTTCTCCCCTTTTCTCCTTGCATTTCTTCCCCTCTCGATGATCGATACCAACCTCCCCTATACTTGGAATATTCTTCAAACTTCATAAAAAGCAACCACGGTGAAAGCTTGAAAGAAAGAGAGAGAGAGAGAGAGAGAGAAAGAGCAAGAATCCTGAATTTCTCCCCGTATACAGACATCGTAATGGCAATTAGGGGTGCATAGAGGTGTCTGGAGACACGCAGAGATAGAAGGTGCTACGTGTAGCAAGGCATGAACGCGTGCTACAGGTGCAAGTGCTCGTATTTACGTACGTGTGTGTGTTTGTAGGTGGATGTCAGTGATCGATAAATCCATTCGCTAATCAACATACCGAGACTATGTTACACGGGGTGGTGACAGAGTCCTTCGCCGCTAATCTCTGTACTAAGTGTTCTCCGGGCGATTACTGGGATAGGATTTGTCTCGGGGCAGGAGGGAGAGGGTGGGATCGAGAAAGGTATCGTGGCGGTGTCCAACGACTGACGATAATCCACGCCGCGGCGATATCCCATCGTTAAATGTAGGTTTGCTCGCACGAACTCTCTCGGCTGCTTCGCACGTGGTGGAGCGAGTACGCGGAGTAGTATCTTCCTGATGCGAATCTCTGAAAAAACATTAATACACTCATGTCCAATTCTCTCCCTTTCCTTTCCCAGCGGCCTCCTTCTCCTCCGTTTTCCTCGCTCTTCGATTACGCGTAACGCAACGTGTAACTTTTTTTGTCTGTTTTTCGGGTGTTAGCTTTATCAATCCTTTCGTGATTGCTTATGTCAAGTCCAGTATATTCGACGTGTACTGTAAGATCGTTGTTGTTTTTCTGTATCGAGTGTGGTATGTGAATCTTCAGGGATGTTGTCGACTTTAAGTTTTGCGGTGAATTTATTTCAATATAAAAACACGCTGGAAAGTTTGAATAAAAGTATAGACGTGTAGGTGTAGGTAGTAGCGAGAAAACGCTGGCACAAATCGCTTTCCCAAGATCTTACACGCTCCTCGTAAAATTCCAAACGAGCCCTCCAATAACCACTTTAATGTAGATTAGACACTATCTAAAATATCTACCCTCCTCTTCTACCCGAACAATCCGTGCAAGTTTGCATAATGAGAGGGCATACTTGATACTTCCTCCTTAAATCCATGCTTCAGCTAACACCGTGGCAAAGTAGACGATCTAGGTCTGGGGGTATAAACTTTTTACGAACACCGTCGGAGGAGTATGGGTGCGGTGCAGGGTTGGGCGTACGATATACCCGTGGAATATTGTATCGAAAATGCAACGCCTCCGCGTGTATATGTGGATCTATATAAGGATCCAAGTGTGCACCTTGGAGCAAATTCTCTCTCGAGTATCGGTGTACGTTTGTTTAAAGCGTATCTGGTAGAGAAGGTGGGCAAAATCCTATGCAAATCGAAGGCAAATAGCAAATGTAATTCGCGGGAATTACGTTTGCGTGTAATGGAGCGCGGGATCTTTCCAACTTTTTCCTCTTAACAAATAAGAAAAGTTTCCGCGAGAGTCACGCGAAGGGTAGCAGAGTGCGTCGCGGAATGGACGAACTTTGCCAAAATGGCGGAAAGTAATATGTCTGGAACGCGATATCGAACCAAGTCCTTACCATTTTTTTTTTACTTCTACCTTTTCTCTCTGCTCTTCTCCGTCTCGAATCTTCGCTATTTCCCCTGGGTGATTCTTCGCGTCGTTTATATTCGACGATGATACGTTTACAGAGATATTCGAATGTGTCCTGTGTTACGAAAGAGGGGAGAACTGGTATCGAGAATGAAACGTGATCGAAGTGAAGCGCGAGTTTCGAAACGTGGACAAGGTTTATCTGACCAGAAGAAGAAGAAGAGGAAGAAACGAGCGAAAGTGGAGAACTAGTGGGTAGATACGTAGGTGGAAGGAGGTTGAGAGCGACGAGTACACAGTGTTATCCGGGTAGATCAGGAATCCTCTTAAGTTGAAAACTTTAGCAATCGGAATAATAAATTCGTTTTCCCTTGGCGAGCTCTCAAGCCTCGCGACTCCGACGCGTTCCCTTGACCGCTTTATACTTGGCTCTCAAGCGTTCCTCCGCGTCTGGGACGTTGGTTATCTCAATCAATTCTACGAATCCGCCTGGCATTGATCTGGGAAGTTTAGACATTTTGTAGAAGCCTGTTGCTCCCTCTTAAATGTTTACTACGAACGTGCCAAGAGCTCTGCACAAAGCGTCGCCTAATTTCTGGTGGGACGTGAGAGTCAAAGGGTGTGTACGTTGCTGGTGAGGGTTGACTAAGTTACGAAGTCTACGTTCCAAGGGAATGAATGATCGTGGCCTGTTAGGGCGTGTGGAGAACGACTGAAATTAAACATTCGCCGAGAATTGATTGGTATCGATCCGTGAAGAGAGTGTCTTGGAGCTCGCCGATTCGAGGATATCTATCCGAGAAATTGGATCGAGTGGATGAAGAAGAAGCTGAATGCATTTTCATATTAAACGCTTGCGAAATTATATCTAGGTTAAACTCGCGAAACTGTGTATTTCCGCTAACGAGAAGCAATAATTATGGCTCGTTTCCACCCTAACGGAAATATTCTTCGAAATCACGAATACGTACAAACGGCCGGGCTGCAGCATTCGCGGGAGATAAACCAGAGGAACGTGACACTCTGTTGCGATTTATGCAACCTCGAGGAACACGGTGTTGTTTGCCGCGAGGTGGTGAATTTTCAGGGTCCGCGCGTCCGGAACAACGAACTCCGTGATCTTTCTGGCGCGCATATTTTCCCCCGTGTCGCGAATTTTATGCAGGTAGTATGAATATTTCATACTCACTTGACTCGGTTTACATCTGAATGCCGGCTGATACCGGCGTCTCATCCGTTTCGGGCAGCAGGCGCACAGGATCCTCACGAACGCTCTGCAAAAGAGAAGACAGCCGCGTCTGAATTCGATAGTCGTGTCTCTCGACAAAGCCACTTTGCTTTTCCACTCTCTTTCTCTCTCTTATATTATTCTTAGATTATTCTTACAATCAATTCTACGAACAACTTTCTTTCTTTACTTCGAGGGTGGGATGACTTCGTAATGCGACCTTTCCCAGCGATATTATAAAACTGTGGAAACGTTCGTCACGTCATGGTGCACACTTTTAACGTCACGATCGCATGACTGCTGCGCCGTTTCGAATATCGCGCTCCTATTTGCATAGTCGTCATTTGCAGTCACGAGCGTGACACGCAAACCTGTACAATTGGAATTTCATTTTCGACTGGGGAAAATAGTCTCGACCGATGTGGACCGAACAGTCTCTTTACAGTCGCTACACGTATATCGATTAAATTTTAATTCACCGTTCGAGGCGAGAAAGTTCACGGTACAGGATGATCGAAATTCATTATCGTTTCGCCTAGTTAACAAGTCGTTTGCGAGATACTTATCGGAGGACATCGAGTCCTTGATTATCTTGCTTGCTCACGATGGATAAGCACTTGTACGCCATCAGCGTGCCGCTTATGACTCTGTCAAAGAGCAGTGCCGCTTTTGTCCTCGCGGAAGCCTCGCAAGAATGCCGCTCTTTCGCTTCTACCTTCGCCGTTTCGCTCCTCTCGTCTTAATTCTCTCCTTTATACACTCCGCTCGGATGATCATGGTTCCTTGGAACTATGCCAACGGGTATCGGGAAGAGAACGAAGGACGTGTATTCGGGGATCGAGGATTCATCGTGGAAGACCTGACTAACGACGAGAACTATCGAGAAGAATTTCTCAACTCTCTACCCTGCATAGTAAAATTTTTCGTGAGGTACATAGAAGAACCAGCAAGAACGTCGTTCGTAACTCTCGACGAGGAAGAAGAGGACTACCATTTGGAGTATTCTCTGATGTCCAGTCTCCAAGATCCCTTTGTTTTCTTCAGACACTCTAAAGACATCGATTTCGAGATATCGCAGCCTGCCTCGAGCACTATCGTACTGATGGCGAACGCGAGTAGCTTGCGAGACGATATCTACATACTCGAGCCTTGCGACAGAGGCTGTCCTTTCATCTCTGTGCTGATAACCTCCTTCAAAGACGAAGAAAGCTTCCTCGAGCAGGCTAACGCGATAGTACGTTCGATGTGGACCAGGAGAATCTCAACCGTGATCATTCTAGCCAAAGTTCGGGACTACGTACTGGCTGCAGGAAGTGTCACCTATCAGCCAGACAAGCGTTGCACCCCGTCTTCTCCCGTTATCTTGGACAAATGCGGGGAGAAAGAGTCCTGGAGCAAGCTGAAAGAGATCAAGCCGCTAGAAATGAACGGTTGTATTCTCAAGATAGCCTACTTCGAGGAACCTCCGTACGTGGTTACGGTGAATTATTCCGAGCATCTGATGGGCTTCGAGGGAAACTTGACCGAGGCTATGATGAAGGGCCAACGGATTGA